ATTCCCACCCCACACCCTGCATCACACCTCACCTCCTGTGTTACACCCCACCCCTGCATCACACCCCACCCCCACCCCTGCATCACGCCCCACCCCTCACTGCATCATACTCCACCCATCACAGTATCAGCTTTCAGATGATCATTTAACTTTCTAAAACTTTTTAATAAATCAGAGGTACATTTCCAACAGGCAGAGTGTGTGCTCACATTATGGGAGAGCCAGGAATCTCACCAAATTATCCTCTCAAAGGCCCCCAAAAAACACCACATGTAATCACCCTCACTGATAGCCAGAGCCAGTTGGTCACTGATGGGTAGAGGCTCAGGCCCATGCAGTAAGGTTCCAACATTGATTTTCCATCGCTACTTTGTCCACAGCAGAGGACTACCCTCAGGTGCATGCACACGGGGGCTCAAGGGTTTGCTTTTCCAGATCTCCTCTGGATTCAGAGTCCCAGGCCCCTGTGACCCGAGACTTCAAGCTCCAGGGAAAGGTCTGATGAGGGCTGCTCTCCAATTCCCCGTGCTTGAGAGGGAAGGATTTCTCTTGGCTCCCCTTAAAAGCCAATTCTTACAGTTACCTAGGAAATCACTGCTCTGTGGCCTAATCCCCCAGGTTACTCTGCACACAGGGCCTACTGTCACTTCTGCCCTGTGCTGGGCATCCTTCAAGTCCTTGAGGGTTATACAAATACCCCTGAGATGGACATCTCCCTGGGGGAGGGGGGGGCTCATGTTCTCATCCTGCCTGATTCTAATAATGCCATTCCAATTCTAAACTCTGATCCCCATGGCCATATAATTAAAACAAACTGATAAAAATAATGGCTAAATTCAAGTAATACCACAGTGGCGTATTCAGCCACTGGTATCATATGTAACATGTCCAAGAGATGCAGTGTGTACTTCTGAGTGTATGTCCTTAGAGTACCCACTGTTGCCTATGCATCCCTTCATGTAACTTGTTTTCTATAAGGTGCAAGGATTACTGGCTCAGGACCACATCCTAGTCTGGGATGCTAAACCACGCTTGGGTACCCAGCCAACTCCAAAGGTTACAGATCTTAACAAAGAAGGGGAAGGAGATGGGGCTGCCCACCTCACCCCATTCTGAGCTGTTTTGACCCGGGAGTCACTCTGCAAAACAGCTTTGCTGCTCTTCCTAAGCCTCAGCCACTTTGCTCAAAAGGCCACGGACAACTCCTATTAAACATCTCCTCTCTGTTCATTCACAGAGGCTGGCCCCAGCTTCCACCCTCAGCACTCCCTGCTGTTTTCCCCTGAGAAAATAAAAAGCATCCCAGAGTGTCCCTCTGAGACTGTTTATAAATTCTTTTATGAACAAGACAAAGACCCCAAAAGAGAGAATACAACCCCCACCCCCACCCTAGTACCACTGGTATCCATTCACTCCATGTGTGTGGCCTTACGTTTTCGGTGGTGGTAGTCCACTGCTTCCTGGCTCAACCTGCTCCCAGGAGACAGCGGAACATAAGACCAAGACAGAAGAAATCAGTACAGACTGCAGGAGTGTGTTGTGAATGAAGATTTAAAAAGGACTGCAGATACATTTCAGAAGCGATGAATGGATCAAGAGAGTTAGTGTCTGGAGAGGGAGCAGAGGTGACAAACCCCAACACAGAGCATGGGAGACAGGAGGGGGATGGGAGAGGGAGCGTGGGGAAGGGAGAAGACAAGCAATGTGTCAAGCCCTCTTAGGGCAGAGCCTGGCGTACAGAGAGAACACCGTTAGAGGACACAAAGCAAGCCTTCAGAGAGTAGTACGTGTCCTTCCTCAACAGCTTATCTGTTTCCAAAGCAGTCAGTGTGGATGCACATGCAGTCTCATGAGCCTCTATTGACATTTTTTTAAGTGCTGATTTTGTAGCAAAGGGCACGGCCCAATACCTACTCCCTCCCAGGTCCAAGAGCCTGACTGAGCCTGCCAGGCGGGGCTGAACCCTCCTGTCTATCCTAGGGCAGAACAGGGAAGCAGCCTAGGAGCGGCCATGGATGGGGTCAGGCCCTGGATGGGACCTCCTTGATCTTCTATGTGACAAATCACTGTGTTGGCATGAGGCTGCCAGAGTGTAGGAAAACTCCTCGGGTAAATATGTGATTGATGGGACAGTTGGGGCTGCCCAAAATATTCCTCTGAACCAAGGGCTTTTTTTTCTTCAAAGATTTATTTATTTTTACCTCTTATATGCATGGAGTATTTATGTGCATGCCTGAATGTGTACCACACATGTGTGCAGTGTCCAGAAGGGGGCATAAGATCCCTGGAACTGGAGTTACAGATGGTTGTGATCAGACTGAACCTGGAGAGTCATCTTCAAGGCCAGCAAGGGCTCTTAGCCCCAGAGCCATCTCTCTCAGCCCTGAACTGAGGCATTAAAAACAAACAAACAAAAGCCCTCTAAACTTTGAGGATATAAAAAGGATGAGAAAATTTTTAACGCCACATTTCTCTACAAAGAATGAGGACAGAATAATTGAGTTTTATCCAAAGTAATTCTCAACTGTAGTTGACTCTACTACAGAAGGGTTTAAAATAAACAAGCACTTTCCGAGCTGTCTCAGTATCTCGGAAATGGCTATGGCTGAACTCAAATGATGCTTGTCTATTAATGTCCCGAAGTAACTATAAGCACCCACTTGCTACCAGGACATGTTACCCCTAACAACAGAGGCAGCTGCTATGTCTCGCACTCAAATCACCCCCATGCAAACAAGTGCTCTTTATCCACAAGACCACGAAGACCAAATAAGTCCCTCCTGGCCAGTGCCAAATGTACATGGGATGTGTGAGTCCAGGCAGGACCACACACAGCCTGAGTCACCACTGATTTACCTATTCTCCCACTTGGAAAAGGTAGCCCACAATGGGCATCTCCCAAGCACCAAGCTGCGCTCTAGGTCCAAGCCCCGATCCCACTGGAGACACAACATCCTTGCTGTCACGGAGCTTACAGGATGGAGATGAACAGGTAATCTACAATCTGCTGAGTGCTGCATGAGAAAAGGAAGGGTGGAACACAGAGGAGAACTAATAGCATCCCAAGGCCACATGATGGCCTGGGTAAGGCATTCGCAGGAGGGAAAGAAGGACAAGGTCACAGCCTGGAGACAACATGGCTGGCCTTGGCCGGGAAGACCACAATGACAGGGCAGCAGAAGGCAGGCAGGCTTCTTCAAGGGCTGTGGGCTCTTGACCTAAGAGGCAGGGAAGGACTGGAGGGTTTAGGGTCAAGGGGCTGACCTTGGCTTTCGGTGGATCGTGTTTGACTCGAACAGACTGAGCCACGACCGTTTGCAGAAGTGAGGCCGAAGGCAGCAGGTGACGTGGGCAGGAGAGGCTCAGACCAGGGCCAGCACAGGCAGACTGCAGTGAATCCCATGAGGTTCTAAAGCCAGGGGCTTTGAGGACAATTTGGTGTATGCGAGGCAGGGTATGAGGCCCAGCCACCACCGCATTTATGACAGGTGACTAGAGAGATGGAGTTGCCCACAAGGACATGGCAGTGACAGGAGAGAGATCCAGGAGTCCATGTTGAGTGTGTTTGATGGAAGACACTGACTAAATCATGGGCAGGGACCCAGGGAACAACATACCTGGGATATAAGGCAAAAACTCACAAACTGGGCCAGTGTAAGCTGGCTTAATGAGTAAAGGTGCCTGCCACAAAGCCTAATTACCTGAGTTCGATCCCCAGGTCCCAAGTGGAAGGAAAGAACTGATTTCTGTAACCTGTACTCTTCTACACACACACACACACACACACACACACACACACACACACACAAGCATGTACACACTAACAAATGTAATTTAAAATGTAAACTCATAAACCCATGCCATTGACCACAGTGGAAGGAGGAATTGTTTAAATATTTCTCAAAGCACTTACTGACTATAAAGTAGGGAGGACAATGACAGTGTGGATTAAAGGACAATTTAACGACATCACCAACACTTACACAGAACCTGAAACATAATGCATTCTGCCAGAACTAAACCTCCCTCACAGTCATATGATGTCAGTTTCCACCTACAAAAACACTGGGACAGTTCAACCACGAGGCATTGAAATGAGACAAAAAACAAACGGGAAGTGTTGTTTCTCAAGACATTCCCTGTCAGACTAAGAGATACTAATAACTGTACACATACAGTGGTCACAGAGCACACGCACATGCACACACACTCAACACACACACAGTTTCACTCTCCAGGTTCTATATTCACAGTAAACCATGGTCTGAACAAATAAAATGGAAAAACTCTGGAAATACTCCCATGTTTTGCATTGTATGTTGCTGTGCATAGCATGAACACATCTTGTGGGTTCGTTCCACTATGTCCTACCACACTCACAAATCATTCTTTCTCCAGCCCACCCTGATGTGTGCACTGACCCAGTAGCCCTCCAGTAGCCACCCAGCCATCAATCAGATCATCTGTCACAGCACCAGATTCGTTTGTGCTTGACTAGCCCTTGACAAGGGACTCAGACATGGAAACGCCATGGCTGAGCTATGCCAAAGGGAAACTAGTCCTTTCTCATGCAGAAAAACTGTACAAACATGATCACAACTCAGCTAGGGCTTAGGGCATCCCAGGCTCGGAGGGCTGCCATGGATAAAAGGGGTGTTGCTGCTACTATATTAATGAGTGATATTTGGGTAATTGTACAGAGATGACAGAAACATCAGAGAGCCTATGAGTGAAGTGGCCCCACTATTTCTTCGCCCAGTTTGAACAAGCAGGATATGGTTGAAAGGGTGCTCCAGGCAGAGAGGAGGTGGAGGGAGGCACCGAAGAATAATCTGCAGAGGAGACAAGGCTGGCTGGAGCAGCCCTGGCTCTGTGTCTGCAGACCCTGCAAAAGGTCTTTCTGCCATGTTCTACCATGCTGCCATGAGAATCTACTAATCAGTGGCAGAACTCAGGTAAGTAGGAGCAGACAACTGAGTCCCATGCCTCAGTCAATTTACTCCAGTGCTGACTTGAACGGCATCAGCAGAGACTGGTACTTCCCTGTGTCAAACGTAGGTCGGAGTGCTGGAGACACAACACAGGAAGAACCAGAACCACCAGGACTGGAAGGTGCAGAAAGTCTCAGGCGGGTGAATATTTTATACACTCTCATTTACACACAGTTACCGGGCACTGTGTGAGGAGGGTTGCACAGCCAGCTAGCAGCCTTCATGACTCATTTCGCAGAACACACAAAAAAAAA